GCGAACAGATTTTAGCCGTTGCATTAAAACTCTCTTTAGCATCTTGTTTGTGTTGTGTGCTGCACTGACGGATCCTTTGTCACCATTTTGTACCACGACTGTTTCGGTCCATGTTCAGCCTTTTCTCATGACTGTGGCCACATGGTTCGCTGGGCTACTACACTGCTGACACCGACCGTGCCAAGGCTGCTGCTCCTTGTGAAAACTGTTGTGATTTCCCACAGCTGTCTTTGTGTACTCTTACTTTGTGTAATGACTTCCTGTATTTCCCAGCCAGTGTGAATGACCTTGGTGCTTTTTTTTTAGTGTGTAAAGACGGAGCAGCGGTAAAAGCAGAAAGTGTAGAAGCTTTCCCTCACGCCCAAACTGAAACCATATCTGCAAAGCATGCTGGTCTTTTGAGATTGCTGTCAGTGGAGAAGTTGCAATTGCAACAGCTTTTTCCTCTCCACCTTTTATTCTTTGATTCTGTGAGACTGACAACAAAACCTGACATTTATCATCTTCAATCACAATGTGACATGTTGTGTGTAGTAAAAAGATCTCTTTTCTAAAGGTGTTTTTTTTTATATTTTCCCCCAAATATTCTATATGACTAATTGTCAGATTTGGGCAGTACGAGCTTGTGTTGTTCTGGGATCCTTTTTTAACGTTTTGTCATGAACTAAATATGTCAGTCCTACGTCTTGTAGCTGTCTGGTAATGCGTTGGTGTCATGTTTCTTGCTTGATTAAATTTTAAACTTGGCGTCTAAAAACAATTCTGATTTATCTTTATCTGCCAGCAATCCTAATGTTAACTCCCCCATAGAGAGGAAGCGCTCGCACACTCTGCACCCTAAGGCCTGACTGATGCAACATTTTGCATTACACAGAAGTAGAGTTGGTCAAATCCGCCCAGAACTACAGGGATTCCCACTTAACCATTGCAGCCCAGCTAAATCTTTTCATCTCCTTGTGTTCTCTGTTAATGTGCAGAGCTCATGTGTGAAGAGCATTTTTTAATTGCAAAGGAAGCTCACGTGTTCCACAGGAGGGCTATTGTTGTCACGCCCTCATCTCACAGCTGTGTTCCTCCTTTTGTTGCAGCGTCTGTGTGTATCCAATCAACAATCAGATACAGGTGAATGGTTTGTAAAGTAGCCTATATGCTCTGAGCCCTGACGATGTAAATCAGGGGAGAAAGCACAGAGAGCCACTGGAGATCCACTCCTGTAGGTGCTGATAGAGACACAGGCTATTGTTTGGTAGAAGTGGAAACACATTATCACTGAATTATAAAATGTAGAAAGGGTTGACACATAGTAGACTCCCATAGGCTGTGATTACCTTAGCTAGTCCTTAAATCAGTTAGATGTTTCATTCAAATGCAGATGACTGGGTGCTACATTTTTTAAAATAAAACATGGTTTTATATATTTCCTTCAACTGGGAGGAGTTCGGGGCCAGTGTGCTGTGGAAGTAGTGTTAATGCTAATGCTCCCCTATCTTTCTGCTAACGCCAGTCGCCTCTGACTGACTGCAGACCGTGTGTAACGTTACCCTCAGGGCGCACGTTTACGTCTTGAATTACAAGCGAGGTTTGTGGTGTCAACAGCAATTTTATTATTGAGTTGTCTGACGTTTCCTTCAGTGTGGACATTTAGCCAAGAAACAGATCGATCAATGTGATTGGAGAACGTAGCGAGCTGGCAGACTCGAGTTGGTTCACAAGCACACAGTTTCTTGGAAAGGTCTGGTTTGATTTTTGCAGAATTTCTCAAAGAATTGGTTACATCTTTGGTTGCATATTAGTGTTGCTGCACTGTATCTCAGCCTGTTGAATGTGTTTCCTTATATTCTGTTAATCTTTACACTCTTACTCGTCAACATGCAGCTTTAAATGTATTAATCCAAACTGTTTGGCTGTGACATTCGAGGGAAGCTGGCTGTAAAGTCACAAAAACAGGAAATGAGTCACATCTCCGCAACATTTTGTCGGATCATGATCAAAATTGTTCTGTGGGTAGATAAGACCTCGATGTACCTGTGTGCAGTGTACCCTGCTTGATGTGCCTGTACTTGGCCCAAAGAACTGCAGCTTGCAGCTACATTCTGCTTTGTATTATTTTTATCACTTTGACAGCGAACAAAGCCCTGGTTCTGTTCCCAGCCTAACATGGAAGCTATATGTGTTTTCACTGAAAAAGGAAGCATTATTTATGGATCGTAGGCATGCAAATAAGCCTGATGTCCTGTTGTAGCAGGATGTAGACATAAACTACTGCTTATCAAAAAAAAAGGCTGGGAGCTACCATACAAACAGGTCCACTGATGCTGTGTGTTGACGTCACAAAGCCTCATGATTACGTTTTAAACTGAGGATATTCAGACTGTGATCTTTGTCAAAAACCTGCTGTGTTGTTTACTAAAAATAAATGAACTTCTGATACTAAGTGGAAATGATTGTGCTAAAATGTCATATCCTGAGATGTTATTGTCACTCAAGAAACTGGGGTCATGTATCAAGTATGCCACAGCTCGTACACCTTGTGGCTGTATCAGAAACCACATATATATCCGCACACTGAACTATGTATGGAAATGTTTTTTCTTAGTGTTTCCTCTGCTCTGCTCAGTGGTCAATGGTGAAAGTGGTTGTGATACCATTTCCTGAACCTCACTTCTCCTTTCAAACCACATAGTCAACATCCCCTTTCAGCATCAGTAAATACACATGATGACTAATGTAATACAGTAAAAATGCCAAAAAAAATCTAGCTTTAAATCAGCCTTTTACGCGATAGAATCACCCAAACCACCCCTGGAGTTGGTCTGAGACACATTTGTCCACATTAACAGCGTAGTGTCAATGTTTTCCCAACCCACTCAGAGGGTAGGAGCATGGAAATAAATGTTTGCTCTCCTGATCCAGGCAGGGAGGACATGCAGATCAGATAGGTGTCAGGCTGTTTGTAGTCAGGGAGTGTCGGGACACTTGTGGATTAAGGAACGACAGACAGCGGGGGGGCAGTCAGTCGGTTTTAACGGATATACCATTTACTTAAGGAGGTACTCCACACTTACACATGTTGAGATGTGAACAAAGGGCCTGTCTCCACGAATACGTTCTTCTCGAATCCGGATAAATACTTTATCGTATCAGCCTCGTGTCCAGACGGATACGGTATTTTTTGGAAACGGGTCCCATAGTGGGAAAATCCGAAAAGGCCGGATTGCCTGGAGTCGTCTGGACGGCGAAAACTGTTTTTTTCTGAAACAATGACGTATTAGCCCCGCCTCTCTAGCCTTTAACCTCAGCCGCCGCCGCTAGACGCATCATAACAACAACAACAATAATGGCGGACTACTACTACTTGTTTGTAAACAGCGCATGCCCCATGGCTTCTCTTCCGGTTTTAGTGTATTGTCGTGGCAGCGCCACATACAGGCCTGGCATATGTACTACATCGTTTTGGGTCATTTCAGTGAATCCGTGTGGACGCAGATATTTCTAGAAACGACGCTGTGTTTACGGAAATTTTTTTCGAAACGACATCGTATTAGGTGAGGCCGCGTATTCGTGAAGACAGGCCCTAAATGTATGGCTGTGCTTTGATGAAACACATCAATGCTGGTGTTTAATATTGACATTCTTACCAAATTTATGAAAACCTGCATTTTACAGGTTGAAAGTGGTTTTACACGCCATGACCTGCTGACATAGAGTCGATCATTTGGGACTACTTTACGTCATGGCTTTATTTAAAAAGAGGGTTAACGCCCTCTTATCAGAGGTGGGCGGCTGACCTCCCCCAGCCCCCACTTTGAGTGAAATTGCTGCGCTTATTTTCAAATGTAAACTGATCGAGACGCATCATTCACAGGAATTTATGCTAGTTTTTGCTAAACCTCAACTTGTTTTTTTTTCTATTCTGGCACAGCGTCTCGGACTTGTGCTTTAGACGGCTGTAAAAACACCACCAGACTGCAATGTTTACCTCAATCTCACGCACAGACCACACAACACATACAAATAGCCGTGCATTTGCTTCAAGTGAATGTAAAAGCGTGTAAAAGACACGTAGTCTGACAACAACTTCTCACGGCTCATTAGCTCTGACTACCAGCTAGCTATTCCTGTTACACTGCCGTGGTCAGTCTGTCAGTCACACCGGTCAGTGTCAAGGCCAGGCTGTCGAAAGGCACTGTCCTTTGAGTCTCTGATGCATTTTTTAAATCAATCTGAGAGGGAGGGAGGCAGCAGAATTGAGGGGCGTACTTACACTTACCTACACACAGACAGATTGGATTTCAGTGTGTGAACCAGAGATGGCTTACCTCACTCTATTTTAATTGTGTTGAAACAATGAACCACACCTATCTCACATTCCATGGTGTTTAAAGCAGACTTCACTAATGGGTTTGTTTTTGTTCCCACTGTATGTTTATTACTTAGCATGACACCTTTTTAAAACCCTTTTTAACAGTTTTCACTGAACCTTGGTGGATAAAGTTTTACTGTGGATCTGAATTAAGGAGCAGATTGTTTCTTATTAACTGCTGCACTTCAATAATAAAGCTGATATATGTTGTTGCTGATATATGCTGTGGTTTATGTGGTTGCTGTGGTGTGTATTTTAAAGAAGATTCAGATCTACATGCACATAAAAAAACATTTATTATTTGAGTGCATTTTTGCAGAAGGTACCTGGTTGAGTCTTTGACCAGTAGTAGCACAATGGGGAAATAAGGAGACACACATTTCACCGATACCGTTGGCAGCGGTAACGAGCCAGGAAACGTAATAATGCACCAAATAAGGCAGTAAAAAAGACTATCAGCTAGTAAACATGGATGTAAACAATGCATGATTTTATCGCATTTAACACCGCAAAGATTCACACAGTTTTGGTGATGAACACAAACTCTGTTTACAAGAAAACCACAGGGACATATTCAAAAGATATTATTTTGCGCAGCCCGTTAAACTATAAGGTGTGTGTTTACTTTGCCTTGCAGTAACAGAGTGGGGTGATGACGTAGGGCCCATCTCCGAAGAAGAAGCCATGGTCATCGTCAACCACCAATCCACAGGAGATGTGTGCACCCTCATGATGTGCCTGCAAGACAAGGGCACGGTAAGAAGAGAGACAAATGTATTACCTCATTGTATCCTTTTTAGGAATATCAAGAATATAACAGTGTTGAGGTCGAACTGGGGCACATCAGTGTAAATAGAGGCCATGCAGTATTTTGGACCTACAGGGCACTTAGCACCGCCTGTGTTTTGCAAAACAGGAGGCTGTCTGATCGTGTTTGTGCGTGTCTGTCACCATAAATAAGGGGTTGCTGTTAAAATTGCACACGTTGCTCTAAAAACCCTGGGAGTCTGGGAGTTGAGTATGTTTGTTTTAAGGATGTTTGTCAGAGGTTAGCCAATGTCTTAATTGTCAGTTTGTTTAGCCAGATGATACTTGCAAGAAGTGAAGTGTTTACAAAAGCAATGTTCAATTCAAATTAACAGGAAGATCCACTTTGGATTATCTCACGCGGTTAGTTGGCCGGTTATGATATTTAATACATTCGTGGGTTATTTACTTATTTAAAAGTTATTTACGATTTATTATTTATGATTTATTTACTGCTTTTGACCCTTTTAACAAATAGCCTTTTAACAGTCAACATGGCAGGAAGGGAGATCTTTTTGTAGAACAGGAGAGAGCCAAAGTGATGGGGATGATCCGTTTTTCAAGTCAAAACAGTCAACAGAGTAGAGACGGAAGGACGGCGCAATACAATGCTGTGGTTTGCTGCATTCAAATTACAGAACGCGAGTTTCGAGCACTCTGAGGCAGCCGACAACAGATGTGCAAAGAGTCGAGCGGCGGCTGATTTGCATTCTTTCACACTGATAATTTTCAACAGGCAAGGAAGCGAAACGTGTCTAAACGTCATTGCACACACCCCTACCTCTGTTTTACGCTTGTTTATTTTACATAACATATATCCATCGGAAATTACACGTCACATACTCCTACAAGGTCCACATAGTTGTCTGACAATACCATAAAAACAGATACGTTGACACACAAAATTGGCTATTACAGAGAGAATTGGAGCCATGAAAGCGATGAAGCATTATGAAAGCTTTTGGGAGGGTGCTTGCATTGTGTGGTCATAAGGCTGTAACAAAGAGAAAAAGTTCAATATTGAACATTTTCAGCATTAATTCGAACATCTGACTGGCCCAAAACTGCAGCAGAGCACACTACAGAGGGTACAACTCTAGATTGTAATGTCACTTTGTTGACTGATCAATCAGTTTTTGTCCTCTGTATTAATCAGCTCAGCTGCTTGTTTAATTGCCAAGGTTAACATGTGGCCACTACACTTTATTATTATGTTATTAACCAGATGTGCGTCAATCAAACACAAAAATAACTAAATATCGTCTGCAGCAGAAGTGAGTTTGAAAACAGAACATCAGGAGAGCGACGTCACATTATCTGTCCACATCCTGGAAGTCAAGCCTGTCACTTTTCCCCTCAAAGAATCAATTACACAAACACGTAGCTTGCTGTCTTGCCACCCTGTACAAATCATCCAGGAGTCTGGCTGTAAATTTCTGGGATAGTGGGGGCAGCTGTGTTTTGTTGTTGTTTTTTTTTGGCTGCGGCTGGCATTGCACTGGAGCTGCCGAGCTGCGCGCACCCGCAAACGTGATGACATGATCCGCCTCAACAACTGCATCCCTGGCCCAGTTTATCCTCTTAGCACTGAAAAGACAGTAAGCCAAAGCTGCACTGGTGCAGGTCATGAGGGTGGTAGTGCTCAGAGGGGCTGTATCAGTTTTGGGCTCTGGCACCAAAAGCCCAAGTCGTGTGCTTTTTTGAGGGATTGAGCAAAATTAGTTTGTTTACATTTGTCTTTTTTCTCTTCCCTTTTTCAGGTGGTACGAAAAATGATGTGGTTGATGGACCATGTGTTCAAATACACCAACTTTGGCCTAGTGTCCCTGATCCATGGGGACTTCTTCATCAGACAGGTAAGAGACCAACAATTGGCACCAGACTTAGTAGGTTTACGGGGTGATATGTTGGTTGTTTAACATGTTTGTTTGTTTGTTTGTTTGTTTGTTTGTTTGTTTGTTTGTTTATGTATTATGATCGGTCAGTTAGCCACCAGAAGTTAAACATTAACCTGCCCTACTCTGGGTGTGTTTTATTTGCTAAACTACCCTCAGGGCTACATCAACAGTTGTCACTGGGAGGTGAATTACTATTATCCCTCACATGTCAGCACCTTGTCTTTCCCTGAAGGCCTCTGGATTAAAATATAGACCTTTTAAGCCATAACCCAACCCTTTCAACCTCCGGCTCCTGCTGGCTTCATTTTCTGCGCTCTGCAAAAGTGGAGTCGCTACACATCTGTTTGTCCCAGCTGGACAGCAGATACGTTTGTGGGTTTCCTACGGCCTCTTATGAGAAGGATAACAGCAGTGGACAGTAGTGTGGGAGGGCTGCTTAGGCCCGCTGGGTCAGACTGACCCTTTTGTTGAGGGGGCAGCTGGAACAGAGCAGCCTACTCTTGACAGGCCTACGTTTGGAGCCTGCAAGGCAAAGGGGAATTCCTGGAATATTATACAAGTGGTGTGAGGGAAGAATGAGTCACTGTAGATCCATAGTAAATGGAAAAATATCATAAAATTGGGTGGATCCACTCACAAAGTAATGGGATATCTTATTTGTATGTCTTATATGACTGGACCAAACTAAAATCTTATTTTTTTTGTTTCTTTTATTTATTTAATTATTTTCAGGTTTGGAGTCATTTCACAATTGTAAAAGATTTTTTCCTGCATAATACACAAAACTATGAAATATTATTTTGTAGGACTTTGTGTCCAACACAGTCTCCTGCAACCCTGCAAAGCTGTCATTGTTATGCATACTCAAAGAAATACCATTAAGCTGTCAGTATCAGGTCCTTCAACTAAGTTGTGAGAGTATGGACGTCCACTTAATTAATCAGTCTCAGCACAGATAGAGCCCAAAAAGTCTGCACACTAATGAATCTGCTCCTGCTGTTTGGGTTCTTCTTGACATCAGCCTGATATTTGCAGACAGCTGGCTAGCTAGCATTAGCTGCCCATCAAATAGAAGCAGGCTGAATGAATTTGAATCTGCAAACAGTTCAGCCGACTCCTGCGTTTCACCTCTCATATCCAGAGATAATATTGTGTCAACACACGAACAAACCGAGCGCATAGATACGTTTGCAGAGTATTTTTTTTCCTCAGTCTGTCTCTCTTGTGATGTTAGATGTCACCATTATGTACAATACGAGACACCCAGAGTCAGGGGCAAACTTAAGTGCGAAAGTAGTCTAACTATTCATGTCGCAGTTTATTGGAAATCTAAATAATCAAATAAATTCGATGTATTCCCCTGACTGTACTGCTATGTGTCACAATATATCAGTTTACGGCTGCAAAAAAAGATTATTTTCATTATCATTTAATTGTTGTTTTGTCTAAATAAATGTCATAAAATAGTGAAATAATGCTGATCGCTGTTTCCCAAAGCCCAAGGACTGTCCCCTCAAACGTTTTGTCCACAACCGAAAGATATTCAATTTACTGTCATAGAGGACTAAAGAAACCAGAAAATATTTATATGATAATATATGATAAATCAGTTTGTGTATATTTGATGTATTAGATGTCGGTAATAAGCTTTTTTCCCATATTTTCTCTCTGGGGCTAAACAGGACATGTTGGCACCTCAAATAGGACAAAGATTGAAAAATATCATTACTTCACATTAAATGACAGCACTGCTGATAGATTGTCTCTGTTGATTTGTTTTGTCGGAACAATTAATGAAAAGCCCGTCCAACACATCCTTCTCTCACTTTTTTCCCCTTCACTTTTCACATTTTTAGCTGCAGAAACACCACAGCAGTGGCAAAAGGGAATTACATGTTTTTTAGGTCATGCAAATGCTTTGCCATGGAATTTCACATCAGGCACTGTGCCGAGGGTGATGCACCCTGAGCCTGCTAACAGCCAGACGGGCTGTGGTGGAAGGCCCGAGCAGGCTCCCTCATTTCTGCCATCCTTTCTGTGGTCCCCTCTGGCATTCTTGCATGTGCGTTCTTGACATCCTTCCCCAGAATACTTCACACATCCACACAGCGCAGCAAGCATCTGCCCTAGCCTTCCAAGCATCTGCTGTCCACTCAGGCTGGCAGACATGTCTCCAATATCATTATGCACAGCACAACACAGCAGGCTTTGATGGCAGTAGCATTTACTTGTGGTACAGGGCTGTAATTTAACTTTTTTCCTTGGTAGTGTTGGTGTTCTCCACCAGATCCTTCAAATTAGAGCAATTTTGCACATCTGACAACTAAATAAGTGTCAGATTACTTTGTAGCACGATTACAAACATATGATTTGGGGCATAGAAACATAAGTGTTCACTAGATAAGGGGTCACATGGACTCATCTGGCCAACAAGTGAAAAAACAAAATTTCCATGAGAGGAAATTATAGGGATGAGATGTCATTTAAGCATTTGCAGCTTGGATGAAGAGAAGAAAAAAAGCCTAGTGTTTGCCCTGCATAAATGGCTGCAGGTGATAAGAAAGATGTGAAAGTGTTATTTTTTTCTCCAAATATATTATTCAGATACATTTAAAATGTGCACATTAAAGTGTTTAAGTCTGCATACCTCTACACCTGAATTAAATATTTATGATATAAAATGTATATTTCAGATATATATACAACCAATATCTAATGTTACTTGGTAAGTTGAGCATCCTCATTTAAATTAATTGATCTGGAGCGTTCACTGTGATTACTCCTCTAACCAGTGGCTAATGCATGTACACCTAGCTAAAACAATAATGAAACAGTAAATACCCTTACAGAGGGTGTAATGTTCAGCCTTTGTTGAACGTGTTCATTCAACTTTATGGTCATTTTGGAGGCTGCAGTTTGTGGTGCTGTTGAATTGTATTCCTTTATACTGATGGATTTTTCTTACATTTCATCCACCTCATTTATATCGATGTAAAAACACCTCTCAGTATAAAACCAAATACAATTCAGCTGTATCACAAACGTCAGCCTCCAAAATAAGGGTTGTCAAGTTGAATCAACACCTTTCTTCTGTAAGAGTTTTAAAAAAAAAAACCTGAACATTACAACCTTCATGAAGGTAGGAGTTATTGCAGAACTGTTTTCGACTCCATTAGTTTGAGCTGGGTGTACCTAATAAACTGGCGACCGAGTGTCCTTGGTTCCACCTCATGAAAGCATGTGAGAGCTAAGCTGAAACGCAGCTGAGCGGGTCGCTCACTTGAGAGACGGGTGGCCTAAGACTTTCAGCGATGGATAAAACCGTCTGATGAAGTCCAAATGCAAAACATTATTAATTTTTAAAAAGTGATATTGTTGTGACATTGAGAAAGCAGGAGAGGTACTTAGTCTGACTCTGATAGCAACATTGTGGGGAACATTTCTTTCAAATCACATAAAGCTGCAGTAAAACCCACAGCAGCAGTCTCAAGGTCGTGTATAGGTTTGTGATGTGTTTAAATGCCTTTCTCTCTCCGTCTCTCTCTGGGAATCAAAAACTTTGTAGCTGCAGCAAAGATTAATTCTTCCCTGATTTTTGTTTTGGTAAAACAATGCTGATATTTAGCCATTTTCAGTGTGTTGAAAGCAGTTTTACCACATACGGCTGCACATGTGCTCACATGACACATAACAGAGTCCAGACCGACTATGCTAATGCATTTAAAATGGCTTCTGACCGGGCATAACTAAAAATCAATCCTGCTCCTCCTCGTCCCATCACTGCTAATGCTCTTAATGTTGTCAAGGCCATCATGTTTTGCATCCATTTCAGTGGTCCCACTAATGCTGCTCTGAGTGCTCCACAGTGTTACTACATCTAACTTCTCATTTGTGTTAGGCTGTTTTCATTTGTTTAGTTGTTGGTATGCCAACACAAAGCATCAGTCTTATCAAGTTAATTAATTAGCATTTACCCTCAATAACTTTTTCCTCAGGGCAAATAAAGAAACTGTTCTTGAGATAATCGCACTTGTTTTGAATGTAGTCACCTAGTTTTAAGACTGAGTACTGATGATCTGAAACAACTGAAACTATAGTGCCATAACTTTGTCACCTGCGACCTAATAACAGATTAAACTATGAAGCTTACGTTGTTTATTTTCTTAACACATTTCCTTTGTTCCTACAGGGTAAAGCTTACAGAGACAAGCAGCTGATCTACCTGAAAGATCACCTAGACAAATACTACCACAGTCGCGACAGGAAATGGATAGTGCTGTTCCCTGAGGGCGGCTTCCTGCGCAAGCGACGGGAAACCAGCCAGTTGTTTGCTAAGAAGAACTCTCTCCCCCACCTGACCCACGTCACGTTGCCTCGTCTTGGGGCCACCCAAGTTATCCTGAAAACCCTGTTGGCCCAACAGGAGAATGGCAGCGTGGGCAGCGAGACTGGTACCCCTAACCAGACGGGTAACTAACACACACACACACACACACACACACACACACACACACACACACACACACACACACACACACTTTTCTCTGTGGCAATCTTATGTTTCCCAGATCCTTTTACGGGAATATTTGTGCGATCTGTTTGGATCGATAAAGTTTGTTCTAATTAGGACTGGGTTGAATTAGTAGTGTTTAGGATTTAGTGGCATCCAGCAGTGAAGGGATGCTCGATGTTGGCTTTTCTGCCGATATCCGATATTCCGATATTGTCCAACTCTCAATTTCCGATACCGATATCACCCGATACCGATATATGCAGGCTTTTTACACCAAAACTGTTAGGTAACAACATAACATATCTCCTATTGTGGAATTAACACATTATGCCTAATTTTATTGTGATGCCCCACTGGATGCATACATAAATGCAACATGGCTTTCCATGACAGTAAACACTGTCTGTACAAAATAAGAGAACAACTTCAACTTAAGGTATGGAAAAATGTGTGAGGTGTGAGACCCACGGCACTCTTGAGAATGAAGTACAGCCTTTTTCAACACAAAGTCCTCATCTAGCCATTGTGCAGTCAAACTCAACATGCTAACCTGGGTAATGCTTGAAGACCAGATATCTGTAGTGAAGCTAATTGATACAGCACCAGAAATTAGCTTCTTGACATGGCTGCAATACTGTACAATGCGGGTAAGCACTCGTCTGAGAAATACTTGCGACTGGGCATGGCATAGAGCGGCTCGAGGAACTCCACAAGTTTGGTGAATCCGGTATCTTGAACAATAGAAAAAGGCTGGTTATCCAGTGCGATGCACTCCATGATTTTCAGATCGAACGCTCTCCGTCTGGGGTGGTCCTTGTCATATATCAGTTGACTCTTTAACTGTGTGCTTGTTTTCGGTGTCGGCTGTTGCTTCTTTTCATCACTTTGCTGCACAAATGTAGCGTGTAACTCCACATGATTCTTCTTGAGGTGGGTTATCAAATTTGATGTATTAAAGGAAGACGCCTTGTTTCCTCCTCCCATAACCAACGCTTTGCAGTCATTGCAAATTGCAAATTTACAATTTGTAGGGCACACTTTCAAATAGTTCCAAACCACAGACATCTCATGCACCGGGCGAGCAAGCTTGTTAGCCACGGTTAGCAACCAACCAGTCTAGCGTGTAGTTGTTGTTGTTATACGTCATCAAGCGCGCGCCCGTAAACGTCCCATGCTGCGTTCATGCAGGCTCGGAAATGCTGAAGCCTACAGAACAAGCATACCGATAATTCCCGATATTAAATTTTTTAGGGAATAAAGGCCGATAACATCGGACATCCCTACAACCAACTGAACACCGCTCGCACCTGTATTTGATGACCTGGGATGACAACAGGCTGTGAAGTGTATAAGAGAAACTATGGTGGCAAAAAGCATAAAAAGCCTTATCCAGAGCCAGTGTTGAGTTTGGGTGATTATAAATCAATTAAACATACCTATGAATATTATATTGAATTTCTGCCAACTGATCCTCCTAAATGTGAAACAGTAGACCTTTTTTAAGTAAGTTATTTGAGCTTTTTATGCCTTGATTGGAAAGTAGGAAGATTAGTTCCATCATTTATAAAAAATATAAATTCTATAGACAACACAAGTGTGTTTTTATTCTAATCAGTTCACCCTAAAATCATAGATAAATGCCCAGAATGCCTGTTTTCGGTGTTCAATCCTATGTGCGTCTCCCCTGGGCTGTATCACATCTTTAAATGAGACAAAACTGCTTGCACACTTCTGGAGGCCAGCTGATTCTCTCATTGCTGTGAGGTGAAAACGTTTTCAAATTAACAGGAATCTGGAACAACCTGATGGGTTTTTTTCCTGATTGACAGCCATTGATCTGAAATATTAAATGAACATAACTGAACACAAATGAAGTTGGGATTGAATTTGAAGGTGTTCTTTGAAGTTTTCGGGGTCCTAAAAAGTTAGTTATTCCTGGGGAAGTTTTCTTCCTTTACGGTCTGATGTTGGCTAGAAGGCCAGTGATGGAGCATGCTTCAAACATGAAGAGTTAAATCATCACCTCTGTGTCAGACTGTCCTCTGGGAGTCCTGTTTTAAATGAAAGGTGACTGGTGGTAAAGATTACCAGGAGAGGAGGGGGGTGACATGCACAGAGGTGCCAGAAATTGCTTCAAGGTCCCTGAAACCCCAGTGGTTATTTGCAGGAGAGTAATTTTTCTGTCTGGAGACCAGCCCTAAATACAGCCAGTGAGCAGGAAGATAACTCTGCAATTAACAACCTTTTTGAGTGGCAAATTTCTTTTTTGGACACTTGGATTTATTTGCACTAATTTTAGGATATTTTACAGAAGAAAAAGAAAAAACTATGGAAACCATGGGTCTTTATGTACATATTGTCTTTAAATGGATCCAGATATTATACCACTATCGTTGTTGGCTGATTTTCCCGATTCCTTAGGATAAACATCCCTTTTTCCACCACAAATACATGACTTACTATGTCTAATTAGTCATTGAGGTTCCATTTTATACTAGTTTTTTTGTTGCAGGTCAGTAGATTAACAAGATATGTTAATCACATGACTAGAAGATATGGGAATGATGAGCATTCAAGTGTTAAAACAAACTCTAACAAGAGTACATTTCCTTCAGCAGTTGAGCTGACTATGAGAAATAAAAGTTGGCCTGTGTTTTTGTTTGTTGTTTGGTTTTTTTATGCTTTTTAATCTAGAGTAAAGTAAAAAATAAATAAAAAAAACATGATTTTACTAAACAAAATTATCCAGATAACTCAGCAAACATACGTCTTGGAACCGTCCCCAGCTAAAAGCACAGTGTTAAAACATCCATAAACTTATGGATGCAATGAGTCCCTATTGCCCCTTGCACACTGCACACTCAGTTTACCCAGCAGACTCTCCTGGCTTTGACTCAAAATCCATTTTAAGGGTGTGCTGTGTTAATAGTAATTTGGAGAGACTTTGGGCCAGCATTATTGAGAATGTGGCTCAGGGACTTTTAGCCTTTCACAAGTTTGCTAACACAGCTCTGTGTCCTACAGCCTCAGCACTAACTGCAAGACGCTGTCAGTTTATCCCTCTGCAGGACAGAGCGAGGAGCATCTCTTTATCGGCTGTTGTAAAATTTAGATAAAAGCGAGCACAGCTTCATTTATGTGCTAAATTATCTGCTGTATGTGCATGTTTTTGTTGGCTTTTCTGCTAATTTAGCACAAAGTCTTTAACCGGCTCTTCAGTGTCAACAAACGCTGATGATAGCAGATGTTTTGTTTATAACCCCTGGCAGAAAGGGGTTTTCTAAACATTTAGGGTTATTAAACATGTCAATTCTTTTCAATTCTCCCCCCCTCCCCCATGCTTTTGTATATTGTAGTTCCAGTTCACATCCCACTTCTTCCTGTGTCCTCTCCTCTGTTCCAGCAGCTCAGGATGAGGGGAGGCTGATTGCTGCAGTAGGGCTTGTCCTTCCACTTGAATCTAGCTAATGGCATTAAAACCTAGGGCAAGAAAAAAACACACACACACCCAGAAGAGCACTGTGTCCCTTGCTACCCTGTGCTCTCTCTCTCTGTGCTCTCTCTCTCTCTGTGTGTGTGTGTGTGTGTGTGTGTGTGTGTGTGTGTGTGTGTGTGTGTGTGTGTGTGTGTGTGTGTGTGTGTGTGTGTGTGTGTGTGTGTGTGTGTGTGCGCGCGCCTGGCTGATCAAAGACACAGCTCTGTCTCCCTCTGACCCTCCCTGATGCTCTGCAGAGGTGCCCAGAGCTTGCTGACTCACTCAGAGACAAATGGGCCACTTGGAGAAAATAGGATTTGATGTAAATGTGTGTGCCGCTGTGTATCAGCCATCCAATGTCAGCCAGGCTAAATACACACAGCACAGCACAGATACACTGCACATGGGTCATTGGTTGCCAGTGTAGTTCACAGCCCTGCAGAAAAGGCTCAGACTGATATGGTTTATGTGTTTATAAAACACTATTTACAGTTGGCAGGTATGCAAAGTTCACCGCTGTGAGTCATTTAGGCTGGGAACAGAGCTACATGTGTTTGATAGCAGCAACCAATCGGAGGAAGTTTTTACCCACGTTTTTAGTCAGTGGGAGGGACAGGTGTGGGCTTCAAGTGTTGTAATTGGTCTGCAGAGTGGCCTGATGGAGAGCCAGATATCTGCCAGTGTGTTTCCTTCCTCTAACCATTTACAGAAAGGACAGGGCCTCTCATGTCATTTTAAATTACCACGGCTGCTGTTATTACAGTATTGTTTGTCACAGCGTATAGGGCACCAGTGATACCTTGGCTCAGGGCCCCCCTGGTCTTTTGGCTGGCCACTCACGGGAGGCGATGGCTGCCTTTCAGCACACTTGGACAGAGATCTGGATCCAATTACTCGCACAGGGATAGCTGTGGTGTTAGCCAATCCCATCAATACCAAGCATGCCTATCAAGTCACGATGCTAGCATCTTGCGCCTCAGCTGTTGTTGGTTTTTTGTTGGTCTTTTTCTGGCGTTTTCTACAGACAGAGAGAGAAAGGTCTTGTGTCATTTATGGTCATTCCCTCTCTAGGCTTACAGTTATGCTGCTAAATGCACTTTCAGTAAAGGTTGACCTTAGAAGTTTTTACTGGAAACAATTGAGAAACAGTGAAAACAGTGTTGGACAATAAATTCAATGATGGTGCTTACAATTAAGAAGATGAGTTCAATCCCCAACTCCTCCTGTCTACATGTAGAAGGGTCCTTGGGCAAGACACTGAACCCCAGTTTGCTCCCCAGGCACTGGGGATGCACAAGCCAGTGCCTCCCAGAAAAATGTGGAGGGTATCAAGCATAAAAAGCCTATGCCAAATCAAACATCAGATCCAAAGTTGTACACTGTGACGATCCCTATGAAAGTAGTTTAGTTGGCTAGCATGGGCCACTGGCAGCTCATTGTAATAAGCTAGATCAATATTAAAATATATCAATAAATTAGGTCTCTACTAGATCACTGCAGTTTAATACTCTTTGTAGTTTAGGAGTATCATTTTGTGACATTTAATGATTTACACCATCTGTAATTATTTAGTTACTTAGGTTAATGGGCATGGCTAGGTGCTATGTCATCATATCCAAAAAGCCACTTCCATGTCCATTTGCCAATATTGTAACGGTTCAATAACAGTAAAATGGTGCAGTACAACGGAGTATTAGGGCCATACTTAGAGAAAAAAATAATTATTTTTGGTGGAAATTATGAGAATAAAGTCATAATATTACGAAAATAAAGTCATAACTGTTTAACGACAAAATTATTTAGCTAACATGTTGACTGTACGATACGACTGAGACAAACAGAGGCTGTTGTTTGGTTGAGCTGCTCACATCAGATCTTGATAACTCTATTGAAGCCTTTCTCTCATTAAAACAAGTTTTTTTCTTGTATTATTATTACATCTCGTAATATTGCGACTTTATTCTCGCAATATTATGACTTTATTCTCGTAATTTCCAAAAGAATAAAAAAGTAGTGCACTGCTGTATCCCGTGTTGCAATAACAGAAACGACGTGAACAAAACGATCTCTTATTGCCGATTTCCCCTCGACGAAAAAGAGAAGAAGAGATGGCTGAAGTTGATACGGTTTGTTTTGGGTGCCGGGGCCCTCTTCCACACTTTCCCTGTTAGACTTCCACCTGACATTGAACTAACTGTTATTACCCTATTTGAATTATAGGAATTTTTGAACAGACTTCGGGATGTCAGTAAAGAAGGATGTCACTGTATAATAGGTGACCGGTTCCTGTGCTGTAGCCATTGTTGTTTACGTGACCTAAAAATGCTAATGGACACGGAAGAGATTCCTAACGATTCCTTACGTCACACGAGCCATCCCCATTAGGGTAATTAATTTAGTAAACATAAACATAGTCCACATGAGTAAAAGTAGCCTATGAGGAGTGAAGTACATAACCGCTACCCCAACGGTAATTAACGGTTACTTTGGCTGTTGTATTAGCAACACATTAGCCTCCGACAGGTAGCTTGGTTAGCACTAAACTGATGGCAGAAAAACAAAATTAACAAATAAATCAACAATTACTAAATGGCTCTAGAAGGACATCTATCACAGCAAATAAAAGAGGCTTGTCAATATTTACTCAGTCACAAATCTGACAAAATGGCCGATGCAACAATGTCAGTTAAACTGTAACTGCCATGGAACTGTGCCAGCAGTGGTTACCGTAGCAACAGAACACCCAACTGAAAACAACTGCTGGTTTCTTTTATTAAACTTGACCCCCTTTTGGGCAGCAACCGTTGCTAAGGATGGGCTTTAGGTTTTTGTTAATATTTAGATATTATTTTAGTACTGATCAAACACTTGCTAGCTCGAACAAACAGTATTTACTTGCTATGATGTTATCTGAGTGTAATATGTAACTGTTGGTAAACATTTGGACTGATAACAGATACAAAGAGAAAGGAAGAGGCTATTTGTACAAGTCTGTCAGATCTATCTGTTTGAAGCTGAAAAACACAAAAGAAAACATTCTTCAGATACTTTTATGGGCAGAGGAAGGAGAGAAGTTGCATCAGAAACCTTTATTTAGTCGGGCGTATTGGCTTAAACTGAGGCCAGCGACGGCATCCACACTGGCGGACAGCAATCGATCTCGAGTAACATTAGTACTTTGTGTTAATTTGTGTTCAAATAGGGTTGGGGACAGATAAAATCCTCTTATGCTATATGCAATTCTGTATTATGATATAGTAGATTGTAGGAACTGTACATAACTGGGAATTTTTACATTTAAATACCTGACAAATCAAGATACTTGAGCACATTGGTGACTCTTTACCTCCTCACCTCCCCATTTTTCTGTATTTTATGTGTGAAAAAGGTTGAAATTATGACTTGTCAGCAACATTCCCGCTTTATTTTTTATTTTACTGCTCTTGACACTGAGTGTAATGTGTAACGTGGCTGATCAGTAGTAAAAATGTAGCTTCGCCTTGTCACGCCATGGCATATTTACCTCGCATAAAGAAGCCAGTGTGCTCGGAGAGGGAAGTGCTTGCTGCACAGTAACAGCAGCCAGGGCTTTGACATTAGTCAAGCAGTCAAATATGCTGCACTGCCTCACATCAACCTCATTTTAGACCTGTCCTTGCTGACTGCTTGTGTTTCTGGCTTTTGACAGACTGTTTTGGCTTAAAGGAACACAGGAGTTTAGTTCATATACAGTGTACAGTCACGTTTCTAAGGCTGTTATCGGTTTCCTATATGTGCGTCCAGAACAAATACCAGTCTGGACGTGTTTGGACTAGCGGAGTTGTGAGGAGGGGGATGTGTAGACTGTCAAACGCGAAGAAATATGACTTTAAACATAACACATGATATGGTGGAAGATCGACTCTTACGTGTTTCTCAAGATTTCCCACAGTGACACACCACACATTGATGTACTGTTGAAAGTCACTGCGTCCTTATTGTCAAGGCCACGCCATTCTTCACACACCGAGTGATGTTAGAGTCTTCAGTCATGCAGGTTTTGAATGAATGAATGAATGAACAGGTTTAATATAAAGAGGATACATCATCCTTATCCTACGCCTCCTTTCATTTATTAATCTTATTTGCAGTTACAGGCAGGTGAGCACAGAGCTGACCCTGCTTAATGTACATAAATACTCACACACATGCACCCTTGCAGCTGACATGCTTTTATCAAGTGTTTAGAATTCCCTCTCCCATCTGTCATCTTCCCTGTCTCGCTACTTCCTTTGCCCTTTTTCACTTCTTCTCCACCTGTCTTCCTCTCTCTCTCTCTCGTCTGTCTCACCCTGCCATAAATGGAGGTCCACCAGGCCTTTTATTTGGTAAAAAAAACATGATATTTGGAGGTGAAAACATTTATTTTTACTGTGACTCATAAACGAAGCCATGAGCCAAATTCTTTCAAGTTAGGACTTCAGCTGGTAAGACTGTTTTCCACCAGTCACTTTGGCAGGTAACCAGCCTTCATTTGGCTGCACTGCTGTCTTATAAAAACCTCTAGGGACACCTAGCAGTTAGAGATACTCTCAGCTGGACAACCAGGGTTCAGCCTCTGTGATGGCAGGCATCTGTGCTATAGAAATGTCACCGAATCTCTGCCAGCTGTGGGGTGCTGCTGTCCTCAGAGCCTTGTTGGTAGTGGACATACAAGATGGCTTGTGTGGATAGTTTAAAGAAGACTTATTATGCTTTTTTAATTTGCTGTCATGTTTTTAAAATTTTCTTCCTACAATGTAACCCAATGCAACAAAGATTAGGACGTTAAATTGACTTTACCCTGCCAGCTCCCTAGTACCAAATCTGTATAATGTCCAATTGAGCCCATGTGTGAATAGAGCAGGTAATTGTATGGAAAATTCATGGTGAGTGTGTCTGACTTTGATGATGTAGCTTTTATATATTGCTTTCCACTCTTGTATTGATATTGCAGATATGTCCAAATACACGTATTACCATATTTATATCAACGCAAAAAAAAAAAACAACCCCTCAATTTGCTACAGTTGCCACTCGCAGCTAACAGACGACATTTCGGTACTTAAAAGGTCCAGGATCGTCTGTAGGCATTTGAAAAAACTGATTTAGATGTCGATTACGATGGCAACGGTAGAAGCTTTGAAGCCTTCGGGTCGGCCCCACTTACTTTTGTTTCATTTGTGGACTGATAAACAGTAATTTCATCAAATGAAGGAGGCAGTGCTCACATACAGTGGGTGCTGCCCGTCAGTGGGCTTCCAGAAATAGACCAATCAGAAGAAAGTGGGCTTTGAGGGAAGGGGGCCTTAAAGAGGCAGGAGCTCAAATGGTTTATTGTAGGGCTGCATAAAGGGCCAGTAGAAGATATTTAAAGATTTTTTTTAAACTGTGAATCATGCAAAGCTATTCTAGTGGAGTGAATGAAATGAAAATATACAGCTGGAAATTAACATAATATATCCTCTTTAAGTTTGCTATACTTAAAATACTGGGTAAAGTCGAGCATCATCAGGCTTGCCTTTTTAAAATGCGTCCTAACGGAGTTTCTATATTTATGTTTCTTCCATGACAGGTACTAAACGTAAAGGCCTGCAGTGGGTAATAGATGTGACCATAGCTTACCCCAAAGCAAAACCCATGGACATCCAGACGTGGATCTTTGGTTACAGGCCTCCCACAGTCACACATGTACACTACAGGTAAGAATAAAAATGTTTGGTCATTAAATTTACCTGTTTCCATCTAACATTTGTCTAACAATACCAATACAACAATAACAATTTGGCTGATAGCTGATGCCGATACTGGTGTTTTTGTGTTGTTATATAGTCAGGGAAAGTAGTCTACAAAGAGAAGCATCTTTGCCTTGTTGCTTGCTCAGTCTATTTTCTTCTCATCTAAGCTTTGAGACGCAGAGCTCTACAGCAGCTCATTGTCTGGGCTGCTGCATGGAGCACATCAGTGTTTGTGACAGTGATGGAAAGCAGAGTTGATTATTTCTCCAATATCTGAGTTGGAAATGACCAACATTAGGCTGGTAGAATACCATCTTACCACTGGTGTCAGACAACAAGGCCAGTATCGTCTGATACTGATGTTCAGCAGATATATTGGGAGGGGGGCACCAGAACCATTTTTACTAAGCAAATTTCTTGTGCAGCCAACATGCAAAGAGGCCACAGGCCACTGACACTGCATCACGTGGAAGTGCACCACATTACATCATGAAATAAGCCAAACATATTGTTTGTAGTTTGTATCATTAATGCATTTTAAACATTAGTGTTGTACTTTCAGGTCATAATTACTAGCTGTAAGGTTTTCAACTAGAAAGATCTGTCCACATATACACATATATATATATATATATATGCCTTCACAACAAACCAGAGAAAAAAACATGTCCTTCATAAGAGGAATCTATATTACCAGTGTCCCATCACAGGTCTATAATAGAGTTAAAAGTCACTTAAGATCAGTACACAGAGACTTTGAGGCTCCATACTATTCATGTGACTCACTTATATCGAGGGAGACCTTGAGGACTGTCCACCCACTGATAACAGTGTTCACTGCAGAAACTTAACTTTAACAGGGTTGTTTGAAGAGTTACAAGTTGTGTTAACAATACTCAGCACTGTCTCTGTGTGTTAACCATCCCCTCATTACGTTATCTCATGTGTGCAACATGCTTGCTTTTCCTCAGTGTTGATTCTAGCCAGAGGTGACTCAGGCTTTTTGCAGTAGCACTAAAATTAGACTATATGTAAAATTGGAATTCATATTACTGAAACAATTGATTGATTTCTCAATCAATGGAAAATTAAGAAGCAGGTATTTTGCTGGAGGATTTTCTAATTTTCTTTGTCATATTAATTAGATAGTTAACTAATTATCTTTCGATTTTGGACTTTTGGTTGAACAAAACAAGCAATCTGAAGACGTCAACTTGGGCTTTAGGAAATTATAATGAAAATTTTTCACATTTTAAAGTGTTTTTGTAGAGTTGACACCTTGTTCTACTGCAGGTGTACTTGAATGTGATAGATTTTTATGTGAGTGTGCAAGACAAAACACAAAAGTTTTAGTTGGTGATAACGCAGTGTAACCTTAGTGGGTTTCAAAGGACATGTTGTAATGTGAAAACTTTGATGCAGGCTGTAATTAACAGTAAACACATTCATCATCCTGTATTCTGTAGCTAAGGATATCATTGCTCTTATGCAAAGCAAATGCATTCCCCCCTCCATATTGTCCTGCTGTCAGTGCCCTCCAGGTTCTCTCTGATGCTAATCCATTCACTCAAGGATATGATGAAGGGGGGCCGGGATTAGATTTTCTGTAGACCTGATTCAAGATATGTGTGGCCCTCTGTGCATTGTCTTGACAGGCGAGATTAGAAGGGCTGTATCCAGGCTCAAGCAGCAGTCATTGGGTAGAGGTCATTTTAACCCTTAATGTGGTCTTTCACCGGCTGGACAACCTCCTGACACAGCTCATGTGTATATGTTCACCTCTGGGTGCAGGGTGGGATTGGCCAAAGTAAAAGGTGATTTATGAACCCTGACTCACCTGCTGCTCTCAGGAGGCTTCTGTGCCCACTTGGCTAAGCTAAGGACTCATTAAGTCTGTAATTAGAACGAGCAAAGGATGCACTAGTCCCATCCTGCCTCTGGGACTCTCTAATCAGCCATTGACACAATCAGCTTCCCTCGCTTGGTCAGCAGCCCTGCAGCCTGGGGACGGACAGGGAGGCACCCAACCAAGCTAAAGGCACAGATGTTACTGTTACAAGTGTGCACACTCAGTTCCGGCCACGTCGATGACACTGATCTCAGAAGTTAGGCTCATGCTGGTACAGGTGCAGGAGTCAACAAGAGGATTAATCTGCCTGCTGATCAAGGGAACACTGTGGGGGAGTGAGCAATATGATGCACTTTGGTGATGCACATAGAGGTGGCTAGACAAGTGTGCCACCCTAAGACTGTGTTTTCTGCTGTGTCAGTTTAGGGCAGTTTCTACAGTGAGTGCACCTTTTTTTATTTTTCATCACCCTTTCCTACAAATAGTAAAATGTAAAGAATATTAAGGAATTTGGAGTGCTATGGTTCCTGTACACAGCACTTTAACGGCTGAGCTTTTAGCATCATGAACAATAATAGTCAACGATCCTCACACACAACAAAGATTTCTCCGGTCCGACCGACGACGACAATTTAACCAGATTAACATAAAACAAATCTATTAGGTTAATGATTCTTGGCCTTCGGTTGTAGTGTTTGAGTTGTTTCAGCAGACTCTGCGTTGCCTTCTTTATCAGTAAGTTTGTCTTTTTCAATGCCACCAAACTTGAAAAGCTCCAGTCTGGGTCGGTCAAGGATTTTGAGCTCTCTGGGGAAATCGGCAAATTTTATAAATGGGTCATTTTATCAAAATATACTGTTCATACGCAAATTGAACCAAAAAAAAACTCCTGATAAAGAACTAATTTTGGCTCGAAACATTATTGCTAATGTGATAAAATAGGAATTTGAATAGTGTTGCGATTCCTTTGGAGGCACAAATCAAATTAAAAACCAACCTCATTGAACTAGAAGTGGATAATATCCAACATATTTATAATAAAATACAATTTGTATTTGAAATGGTATGTTGAGATGGTCCTGAGAGCAGCCATATATTAGCTAATAGTTGTCCATGCTGACCTGGGAATGAATAGCAAAAAAAAGCTTATTGTATTAAGCTAGTTGTATTGACAAGATTGGGGATTCCAGATCAGAGATTGTTGTTATGCTATTATAAGTTCAGAACTGATGGGTTTTAATCAGAAAACCTGCAGAAAAGAGACTCGTCAGCCGTCACATACAATGTCGCAGTCTGTGACACCAAGCACAGCGTCAGCAGTCGGCCCGTCTGATTCGGTATGTTGAATCTGCAGACTGTATGAAAGCTCCCTGACTGACTGTTAAGTTTACCAAATCAGCGATTTCACCCATTTAGTGAGGTGTCGCTTTATTTTTTGCATCCGCTCCTGTTCTACAAGCTGACGACCAACGATTGTGTAACCAGATTTCGCGATCGCATACAAATGGTGAGCTAGTTTTGTATTTATTTTGTCTTTTGGTTTCTTTTTGGATTATTAAAACCGACGAGTTATTTCCTCCCTCCCACGTTGATGCTCGTCAGGTGTTAGCCAGACGTCAGCTGCAGTCTTTGTGGCGTGTTAAAGTCCAACAGTTCAAGACATGAAGTGTTTGATCGTTCTTTGCAGTCGTGTTGGTGCGTCAGGGCCCTAAATCTGACGGCTTCTACACGAACTGACCTTGATGATAGGCCCGTCGTCCTCCTCCTGCGTTATCTCTTTACGGGGCTGTATAGATTACTACGGCGCCTGAGCCTCCGCTTCAAAACAGGCAACTGAAAATTGAGTAATATTCTAGATGAATCCATGCTGAGCGCACTTTTTTTTTTTTTTTTTAATCCTTCCACCTCCCTCTTTCTCTCACTGCCTTTCGTCCTCACCCCTCAGCCTCACCCTCCCTCACTGTGTCTCCTGCCCTCTCCCCATATAATCTCAGTCTTCCAGATTGCAGCATCATAAGCCCTCTGTGAATGGCAGATGGGAGAGCTAGGTGGGCGTACAAAGGCCGAGCGAGGGCAGTAGTGGGTGTTAAATACGTTAAAATCCCTTTCTTTTAAATGCACCTTCTCCTCTCTTTTTTTTTATTTTGCTGCTGTGTGCGTTTCTGAAAGCTGCTGTTTGAAAATATCTGAAAGGTGACATGATTTATGGAGTCGGAGTCTGCCTGGTCATCACATGGATGCTTTTCGAGCTGCACACCTGGCTTTCTCCCTGAAACAAGGCACTCTCACTCAGAATTGTTGAGTTTGCAGCCGTACTGCTTTCTTAAGATATCTGAGGCAGATTTTTTTCTGAGCACTTTGTAAAAAAGGTTGCAAAGTCTGTAGTCGCTAAAGCAGACACTACATTTCCTCCTTTTTACTGAGGTTCATCCAGGATCAATATCTCTTACACCCTTATTTTACCTGTGAGTGTAATGAGAGCCTAGGTGATTAGAGATGGTGTCTTGGGATAATGAATGAGTAGAGGATTGTTTTTTTTCCAAAGCTTACAGTCTTCAGAGGACATTTGTTGCCTTCGAGACCCATTACAGGAGTCATCCCCCACCCATACTCGCTGCAAGAGTCAGAGTTCAAAGCCCATCAGCAGGGGTGAGACAATGGGTATCTGCATGTCTTTAAAAGCACTGAAATTAGTTTCCTCAAACAAAAGCCTTAGAAGAAGCCTTAAAAAGTCTGAATCTGGATTTACAAAACTCTTGAATATTTTTATTAGAAACATTATTGTGAATAATTAAACATTATTGTGACTTATAAAATATTTTTGTGTCAGATGGTGGGCTGTTGGACGACATTATACACCTAAGAACTAAAAGTAGGATTGTTTCGACCGTGAATTGTGTTGAAAGAGGCTGTTTAATCCTTTTTGTGGAGTTTCAGTCAACATCATTTGACCTGTAGCAAACAAGGAAGCTCATCGGCCCATAAAGTATTGATTTTAGACTAAACTTAAATGAATTTCATTAATAATGAATGAATTTTTAATCGGTTTATCAGTTCATTCAGCCTGTGTCCAAGTCATGTCAGTTTAATTAGTTATATTATTATGAATTTTTAT